CGGCAGCGCGCCGCTCCTCACTCCTCCGAGTTTCCTCCGACCACTGCTCCTCTGCAGACTCTCCACATGGACGTTTGGGGCCCAGCCCCCGTCGATGGAACGGACTAGGAGCGCTACTTCCTGCTGGTTGTTGATGACTACACACGTTACACCACTGTCTTCCCCTTGCGGCGCAAGGTGGACGTCAGCGGTGTTTTGATCCCCTGGATCCGTGCTACTCGTCGACAGCTGCGCGAGCGGTTCAGTCGGGACTTCCCACTCTTGCGTCTGCACTCTGACAGGGGCGGTGAGTTCTCTTCTGACCTTCTTGCGGAGTTCTGTCGAGATGAGGGCATCGTCCAAAGTCGTTCACGCTTCCGACCTCTCCTCAGCAAAATGGGATTGCTGAGCGTCGCATTGGCTTGATCATGGAGGTTGCTCGCACCTACATGATCCATGTGGCTGCTCCCCATTTCCGTGGCCATTTGCGGTCCGATACGCTGCGCATCAGCTCAACCTCTGGCCCCGTGTCTCTGAGCCAAAGACCTCGCCCACACTCTGGTGGACGGGGAAGGTTGACGATGCGTCGGTTTTCCGTCTCGGCCGTCTTCGCCGCCTCCGCAGCCTGCTGCTGTGGACTCTGGAGCTGAGACTGCTGGCGCTGAGCTTGGGGGTGCTGAGACAGAGGGTGAGGTTTCTGGGGGTGCTGGTTCTGGGGTTGCTACGACTGGGGGTGCTGGTTCTTGGGGTGCTACGACTGGGGGTGCTGACTCTGGGGGTCCTGCAAGTCCTAGTGGCGGTGGAGCTGTGGGTGACCCTACTGGAGGTCCTGGAGCTGGACAGCCACCGCAGCATGACCTACTTGAGACGCTCTCGCCGCAGGCGATTCGTGCGTGGATCGTTTGGCGAGGCAGTCCTGATGGTGGAGGGTACGGTCCTGCTGGTGCTATAGCTGCTAGTCCTGGAGGTACTGCAGGTGCTGGAGGTACTATAGGTACTGCTGGTGCAGGAGGTGCTGCTGGTGCTGGAGGTACTAGAGGTTCTGCTGGTGCTGGAGGTGCTGGAGCTACTAGTCCTAGAGGTGCTACTGGTGCTGGAGGTGCTGGACCTACTAGTCGTGGAGGTACAGCTGGTGCTGGAGGTGCTGCTGGTGCTAGAGGCGCTGGAGCTGGAGGTATTGGAGGTGCTGGAGCTGATGGTCTTGGAGGTGCTCGTACTGGAGGTGCTACTGGAGCTGCTGGCAGTGTAGGTACTGGAGGTACTGCTGGTGCTGGAGGTGCTGGAGCTGCCGGAGCAGGTGGTACTGCTTGTGCTGGAGGTGCTGGAGGTGCTACTGGAGCTGCTGGCACTGGAGGTGCCGGAGGTTCTGCTGGTGCTGGAGGAGCTGGAGCTGGAGGTACTGGAGGTACTGGAGGTGGTAGTGCTGGAGGTGCTGGAGGTGCTGTTGGAGGTGCTGGAGGTGCTGCTGGAGCTGCTGGTGCTGGAGGTGCTGGTGCTGCTAGTGCTGGAGGAGCTGGAGCTGCTGGTACTGCCCTGCACAGACCGTTTTTCTACCCGCAACCGCAGTCGTCCCTGCCACCGCCTGACTCAGCCCTTCGCCAGGTTCTTAGTCTCCCGTCTTCCACTGGCCTCCCTCTACCCCTCCTGTGTCCACCGACAGACCAGTCTCAGCCACAGCTATTGCGTGGCTCCCCGCTGCCTACGCCTGCTCCTCACAATGAGGTGACTGAGTCCCTGACTGAGCGTCGTGAGCCTGAGACTCGTGCTTCCACACCTTTTTGTGCTCGTCGTATCACCCATCCTCGTCCTCCTGCTGTCCCAGGCACTCACGGTATGGCACTTCATCCTTCCTCTGTTCCACAGCGTGTTGTCCTGCCCGAGCCTCCCGCATCCTCTCTTCCGCACGTTCCTGACCCTGAGTCCGACCTTGCTCGTGCTTCCAGTCCTACTGCCTCTCGTCTCCTCGCTACTATCGTCACTGACCCTGACCTTAAGTCTACTGCAGCGTTTGCCCTAGTCACTGAGCTAGTCGACTTTGCAGTTAGGATTCGTCTCGACTACGTCGCGAGTCTTGTCACTGAGTCTGAGTGTGCCTGTCCTCCGTCCGTCAGGGGTGAGCTTGCCCTTGGCAGTGACGTACTTGAGGACGGACAGTTTGAGCCTGAGTGTCTTGCGGCCGTTTTACCTCATTTCGCATCCATGCTGCTTTGCCCTGAGGGAGACCCGGATGCACTTGACATCCCTACACCGCGCTCTTACGCTGAGGCGATCGCGGGTGAGTACTCCTCTCAGTGGCAGACAGCCATGGACACAGAGATGGCTTCCTGGAAGTCTACAGGCACCTACGTCGACGAGGTTCCTCCTCCTGGGGCGAACATAGTCGATGACATGTGGATTTTCATAGTGAAGCGGCCGCCGGGTTCTCCGCCTGCCTTCAAGGCGCGTTATGTTGCTCGAGGCTGCAGACAGCGACAGGGGGTCGACTTCTTCCAGACCTTCTCCCCCACCCCGAAGATGACTACTCTTTGGGTGCTACTACACGTTGCAGCACAGCGTGACTACGAGCTGCACTCCCTTAACTTCTCCACAGCTTTCCTGCAGGGCAGCCTTCACGAGGAGATCTGGCTGCACCGCCCACCCGGCTTCACTGGGTAGTTTCCTGCAGGTACCCAGTGGAGCCTCCGGCGGCCAGTCTACGGTCTCCGCCAGGCGCCCCAATAGTGGCACGACACACTGAGGACTACACTTGCGGCTCTTGGGTTTGCTCCTTCCTCTGCTGAACCGTCGCTCTTTCTACGCACCGACACTACCCTGCCGCCGTTCTATCTTCTGGTGTACGTCGGCGACTTGGTTTTTGCTACTGCTGACACTGAGGTGCTGTCCCTAGTGAAGGCAGAGCTGCAGGAGAGACACACCTGCACTGACCTGGGTGAGCTGCGTAGCTATCTTGTCTTGCAGGTCACACGGGACAGAGCACGGCGCACCATCACCCTGACTCGGTCATACATGGTGCACCAGGTCCTTCAGCGCTTCGGCTTCCACTTTTCCTTGCCACAGCCCACTCCTTTGTCTACCGGCCACTCGCTCTCAGCTCCACGTTTGGACGAGTCCGTAGAGCCGAGTGGTCCGTACCCAGAGCTTGTGGGTTGCCTCATGCACCGGATGACGTGCACACGACCTGACTTCGCGTACCCTCTCAGCCTCCTTGCTCGCTACGTGGCTCCCAGTAGACACCGAAAGGTGCACTGGGATGCTGCGAAGAGGGTACTGCGTTACTTGTGCAGTACATCGGGCATGGGGCTCATGCTTGGATGACAGGGTTCAGTGGTACTCATAGGACACTCCGACGCTTCTTGGGTCGAAGACCATGCGACTCAGCGTTCGTCACAGGGTTACACCTTTAGTCTTGGCCCTGGTTCTCTCTCGTGGAGGTCCACTCGTTCTTCTTCTATGCTTAGTTCCAGCTGTGAGGCCGAGATCTACGCCGGGGCCATGGCTGCACAGGAGCTACGCTGGCTGACCTACTTGCTGACCGACTTGGGGGAGCGGCCTCGTTCTCCTCCAGTTCTGTACGTCGACAACAAGGCAATGCCTGCCTTGTGTCACGAGCAGAGACTGGAGCACAGAACGAAGCACATTGCTCTTCGCTACTTCCTTGTGCGTGAGCTGCTGCAGCGTCATCAGCTCCGCCTTTCCTATGTGGCCTCGCGGGCCAACATTGCTGATGTGTTCACCAAGGCCATTGGGTCTGGTGATCATCAGCGTTTCTGCACTGCTCTTGGGCTTGTGGCCACTCTGCCTCAGCTGCTGGTTGCTTGACTTGCTCTTGTTGTACAGTGATATATATCTTTCTACCTGCTTGTTTACTCTTGCTAGGTTGTGATCAGTGTACTGCCTTGCTAATATAACTCTGCATGTGAACTGGCCTTGTGGCCGCTTGCTTGTGCTCGGATTGTGTGGTGTCCTTGAGATCCACCGTGAGTTTTGCTTTGCTTTGCTCTGTTGTCTTGTTTGACTGGTCTTGTGACCGTCTTGTTGTCCCCCACTTAGCCTATGGGGGTGTGTCAAAGTACAATCTTACTTGTAGGCTATAGTGAGGCACTCCTTATGGGGTACAACACTTCTAGGGTTAGTACTTCACTATGGTGAAGTTAAGACCAAGAAACAAGCCAAGCAGACAGCCACCTATTTCTCTGATTATACTGATGCATACAGGACCAACCAACTACGGTAACTACCATTGTTGGTGTACTCAATAGAGGCAAGAAGATAGCGATTATTGCAGTCTTGAAACGTGCTAGTCTCAACAGTCAGAGTAGGACCTGCTGTACAGTTTTTGCCTTAAGTTAGCAGCAATAGAATCAAATCAAGGAGGTATATGGTACTGTAGCTGCTGGGAGCCTTGGAGCACAATAGGCCAGACCCTTGCTTGTCCCAGTCCCTTGCTTGTGCAACCGTCCACCCCACTGCTAGGTAGGTGGGTCACGTCATATCAGATGTGCTGTTGCAAGTCCTCTGCTGCAATGTGTCCTCTGCTGCAATGTGTGTTAGTGTGTCCCCTTGCTTGCTTAACTTGCTTGCCCATTCACCTGTTAATGTAACCCCTTCCATGTGTTGCACTGCCTGTCACCGTGCTCCATCCCATCCCACCCCACCCCAACCCACCCCACCCCACCCCACCCCTCCCCACCCTCCCCTCCCATCCCATCCCATCCTATCCCACCCATCCCCAACAAAACACCCCTGGTAACGAAAAAGCTCTCACCAACCCCAGTCAACACCAACACAGAACCCAACCAGCAACACACACACTACCAGCGGCCACCACACCCATCAAACGCCCACACCCCTCAAACGCTCACATCAGACTCATCCGAATCCGACGCCCCCTGCCTCACTAACACCAGTCTATCCCACCCTATACACAACGGTATGCATCCAATCGCCCCCAACATGCCCCCTCCCCCACCTCAGTCAACCAACAACCCACACACACCACACCCCTCAAACGCCCACACCCCTCAAACGCTCACATCAGACTCATCCGAATCCGATGACCCTTGCCTCACTAGCACCCGCCTATCGCGGCCTATACACAACGGCATGCATCCAATCGGCCCCACCATCCCCCCTCCCCCACCCCCACCCCCTCCGCCACTCCCTTTCCCCCCATCCACCCCGCCCCCTCTCCTCCGTGCCTGCTTGAGCGCCCTGACAGTGGGTTCATCCAGCAGCAAGGGCCGGGGGGACTCCACTGCTGCCTCTGCCAGCCGCTCTACCTGCCTCGCTAGCACCTCTGCCATGCTCCTCGGCACTGCATCCACCTGGGGGGGTGGGTGGGCGGGAGAGGGGGCGGGAGGAAGGACACGTCAAGCGCTCTCAGTGCAGTGCTGAGTGCTTATCCAACGGCATCAGCAGTCAATCAGCTGCATCGAATCGTCTGAAATTTCAAATTGCCTAGATAACAACGGGGTGTCACCCAACATATCCTGCAATAAATACCTGGTAAGTCAGCCGCCCGGCCAGCCGCCCGTCTCTCAGCGGCCGCAGCGACAATCCCAAGGGGAACAGCGCCACTTCGCCGCCCCACCCGCCGCCGCCCACACTCCCTCCAAACTCGGCCCCACCACACACCCCTCCACCCACCCCACCAATCGCACCAAAACCACTAGCAGCACCACCAGCGAAAGCAGCACCAGCACCAGAAGCACCAGTGGCACCAAACCCAGCAGTGGCAGAAGCAGCAGAAGCTTCAAGATCTAGGTCCCCTACTAGAGAATCCTCTAGGGGGAGTAGGTTCGGGGGAGAGTCGGTGCCAGGGTGTGTGAGGGCGAAGGATGCGAGGGCAAAAGGGGAGGTGAAGGGGTCCGGAGCGGTGGGATGCAGTGCGGAGGCGAGCAGACGGAGCGAGATGGACTGGTGCTGCAGCGCCTGCAGTGTGTGCTCTCGCACCTGTGTGAAGGAGAAAAGTGGAGGGGAGGACCGGGGAAAGGGAGGGAAGAAATGAGAGATAAGTTCAACATGTGCGAGATAGCAGTGTGAAGGAGGAGCAGCTGGTTTCCATAGACTTTCAACTTTGGGTGTTGTGACATATTCTCAGCGAGCTGCAAGCTTAGTCGGGCTTAAAGCAAAAGATAGACAGTAAAACCCTCCTGTAGCACAAATCAACAATCTGAATGAGATAGCAGTGTGAAGGAGGAGCAGCTGGTTTCCATAGACTTTCAACTTTGGGTGAATGAGGGAAGGAGGGGATGAGTGAGGGAATGAGTTATGTACTTGGAATAGCAGCTGTTCGAACGACACACCCTCAGCCATCCACTGGTCGTTGCACATCTCCCCCCCTCCCTTCCCTCCTCCCATCATCCCCCCCTTCCCTCCTCCCCCCCCCTCCGCCCCTTTCCCATTCACCCCTCCCGCCTGCTTCCCTTGCACCAACCCACTCCCCCCACTCCCTCCACCAGGCCGGCTCCCCTCCCCACGCCTCCCCCCCTTCCCTGCGGCAACAGCAGCCGCAGCAAGTGAAAGCACGTCAGTGCCAACTCCCCCACCCCCACTTCCCTCAACAAACTCCTGCCCCTGCTGCCCCTGCTTCGTCCCATCAGCATCAGCAGCCGCGATTTGCCTCAAAGCGGCAGCAGCATCAGCAGGCGCACCAGTCACAGCAGTCCCAACGGAGGAGCGAGGGGAGGGCAGGGGAGGCGAGTCAGCATCACCGATAGCATGCACCTCGCTAGGAAGACACAGCTTTCGCCCTGCTCCCCCTCCTGCCCCACCTCCTCCTCCTCCTCCTCCTCCTCCTCCTCCTCCTCCTCCTCCTCCTCCTCCTCCTCCTCCTCCTCCTCCTCCTCCTCCTCCTCCCCCTCCTCCCCCTCCTCCTCCTCCCCTCCTTCCCTCCCCTTTCCTCCCATGCATTCCTGGGCGTAAGCAACTAGTGGCACCACCAGGAGCACCAATTCTCTCCGTTGTCGAACCTGCCCCATCTTCCCTGTCATCCCCACTACTGCAGTACCCTCCACCGCCTCCCTCCACTCCTCCTCCTGCTCCCCTCCCTCCTGACGACCCGGGCCTATCCCCCTCTCCCTTTCCGGAGCTCCGGCCTCCGTGGCTGGAGGGTCGGAAGCCCGAACCTGGCCCTACAACTCCTCCAGCAGCAGCAGCACCAGTGGAAGCAGAGAGGCGAGGGGAGAGCGCGGAATACTGGCGGGAAGTAGAGGGGGAGACGCATCGGGACGACACACACGAGGAGGCACGGCTGATTGACGAAGTGAACGATCTCAGCCGCCCAGCCACGACCAACGGAGGGCTCAGATGCTTCCTCATATCCGTCACCACTGGGAGCACATCCGAAAACCGCCCGATCACCGACTGGAGCGGCAGGATTTGTCTCCTAGCGACCGGGACGGCGATCGCGACGGAGTGCTGGTGGGTCCAGAGGTGTAGCAAGGCGTGCAGAACGGTTTGGAGGGCCATGGAGAGAGTGGCACCGCGGTGGAAGGCGTAGGTTTCGAGCCGCCTCCTGGTGCTCGCTGCTATCAATACCTCCATATGTCCCTTGCGCAGCGCCAAGGCCAGCCCCCCTGCCGCCACCGCTGCCGCCGCCGCCGCTGCTGCTCCTCCTCCTTTTCCACCTCCTCCTCCTCCTGCTCCTGCTCCTGCTGCTGCTACTCCTGCTCGCCCGCCTCTGCCCGTTCTCGCTCCTCGTTCGCTCCCGCTTTCGTCTACCTTGGGTTGCAGCTGGGGAGGTATCTTTGGGGGAGGTACACCCACCGCTTGCTTCCAGAACCCCAGGTCCCATTCCCTGTGCCCAGCACACGCCAAATTGTCCTTTTCCCACAAGACGAAATCCGCGTAGCTGGAGACTGCGGGGAGGTCGGTTGCCGAGCCGCCCGCCTTGTAAACCTGGACAGGAGGTGTGCGAAACATGAAAAGGTGTTGGTTCTGGGAAGTAAGAAAAACTGACAGGAAAACACTGGTGTAGAGGAGAGTAAGTCTCCGAATTTGCACAAAGCCTCTCTTTTTTTTTTTTTTTTTTTTTTTTTGGGCACCTGGAGGAGGTCGGTGTAAAAAAGCGAGGAGGAGACGCCATCAAAGATAAGAGGGTTCCACACGAGCACGAGAGAGTGCTCCGTGGCGCTCAGCCGGATCAGCGTCGCTCGAAACAAGCTCTCCCCTTCCCCTGCTGCTCCTCCTGCTGCGGCTGCCGCTGCTGTTGCTGCTTCTCCGCCCTTGCTGCCGCTACCGCCGCCGCCGCTGCCAGCTGCTGCTGCTGCGGCCGTCGCCACTGCTGCTTTGGCTGCTGCTCCTCCTCCTCTTCCTGCTAACAGCCCAACTTCGGCTGCACCCATCCCGCCTCCCCCACTCAATCCCATCCCCCCCATGCCACCCCCACTGCCTCCACTTTCCCCATCCGCCCCACTGCCTCCCACAACTAGGGTTTCCGCTACCTCCTCTGGCGTCCTCAGGCAAAACGGCCGTTTCGCCTCCGCGATTATCCCCGATATAAGCCTGTTTCGTTTGGAGTACTTTGCGCCGGAAATATCCACCAGAGAGAGCTTGAAAGGAGGGCCGTGTGTGGGGTGGGTGTGTATCTGCGTGACACACTCCAACACACTCTCTGTTGTTTTCCAAAAGCTGGGAGCAAAGAGGCTCGGAGCAAACAACCCTGCAAGGGCCCGATAGACAAACCCCCCCCCACCTCCTCCCCTGCTCTCCCCACCAGCCGCTGCTACACTCACCCTTTCTCCTCCTCTTCCTGCTCCTGCTCCGGCTCTTCCCACTCCTGCTGCTCCTCTCCCTGCTTGCCTCCTGCCCTTGGCGTTCCCAGCAGCACCAGCAGCGCCAGCGACACCAGCAACAGCAACAGCAGCGAGCTCAGTCCTGAGGGAGTTGATAGCTGCATCCATCACATCCGCTTTCAGCCGCAGCGAACCGCTGTTACTGCTGCTGCTGCTGCTGCTGCCCCTGCTGCCGCCACCACCAGCGCCACCTCTCCCCGACTGCTTGTGCTTGCTGGTGTGCCAAGCAACGAAGCGGGAGCGCAGGGCTGCATGGCGCACCACCAGTGCTTGTAGGGACCGCTGCAGCCGAGGGAAGTTGACTGGGCCCTGTATTGGGGCAGGAAAAGAGAGTGAGGGGGAAGGGGAGGAGGGGAGAGGGTTCAAAAAATGCTTTGGCTTGTGCTTGCCGCTGGTCCTTCGACAACGAAGTGAGAGTGCAGCGCTGCATGGCGCGTCACAAGTGCTTGTGGGGAATGCTGAAGGCGAGGAGAGTTGACAGGGACATGTGAAGTGGGAGATGGAGGCAGAGAGGGAAATAGGGACATGTCACTCACCTGGCACCCGTCTCACCTGGCACCCGTCTCACCTGCAGGCGCCACACATGGCACTCGTCCAGCAGCTGCGGGTGTGGCAGAGCATGGTACGTCACCCACAGCAGCACCTGTGCCACTTGAGCGCCTTAAAAGTCAGAATCAACTTCAAGGTAGGTTTGTTTTAAGCTGCTCTCATGGTCTCACCTGCAGGCGCCACACATGGCACCAGCAGCTGCGGGTGTGGCAGAGCATGGTACGCCACCCACAGCAGCACCTGCGCCTCTGACAGCGGCACCCCCACCACTCCGCCCGCCCCATCCCCTTCACTTGCCCCACCCGCAGAACCAGCACCAGGAGCAGCAGCAGCACCACCAGCAGCAGCGCTACCAGGACCAGCAGCGGCGGCTGAAGGGAAGGGTGCCAGGCGCAGCAGCCTCTCCCCCAAGCCTGCCTGCCCCTCCTCCTCCCCATCACTATCCTCCGACCCTTCATCCAGGCCCAGTTGCCCCCCGCCACCAGAACCAGCAGAAGCTGCAGCAGCCGCAGCCGCAGCGGTAGCAGCGCGGTGCTGGGAAAGAAAATCGCCACCCCAGTCCTCCGATCGCTGCTGATGCTGATTCTACTGTCGCTCATACCGGCCTCTCCTCTTGATTCCGCCTTCCCTGAACTTCCCGAGCTTCCAGCCCGTTTGTGTTTCAACAGATGGTGCCGCCGCCGCCGCTCCTGCTGCTGCTGCTGATCCTGCTCCCGATCCTGCCTCTGACCTACCTCCTCTGGCCCTCCCTGATTGGCCGCTCGCGGGCTTGACGCTGACATGGCGGCCGCGCCACGTGGCGAGCGTGGTGTCATCCACGTCAGCGCGTCCGCCAGATGGCGCGACGTGAGCACGAGCATGATCCCGGACTCCTCCACAATCTCCTCCAGCTTGCCACGTGGCAGGGAGGGATCCAGAGGCACATACGCCCGTCCAGCCATCATAATCCCGAGGATAGCTGCTACCCAATCCACCCCTCTCTCCATACACACCCCCACCAGTTGCACCTCTGGTCTCGCCCGGCTTGCCCCCACTGCTGCTGCTGCCGCTGCCGCTATGTTCGCCCCTGCTCCTGCGGCTGGTGTTGCTGAAACGGTTGGGGAACCAACAGAAACACCCGTGCCGTTGGCAGCAGCCGCAGCAGCAGCAGCGGCCGTAGCAGCAGCAGCGGCGGCGGCGGCGGCAGCAGAGGAGGCGGCCTTGGGGGTGGCGGCAGGGGTGCTGTGGCTGCTACCGCGGTGCGAGGCTGGGATGAGGGCAGGGCGAGGAAGCTTCTTGGCAACGAACCTCGCGATCAGCAGGGCACGTGCATGTAGCTGCAAGTACGAAACGGCTTCCCTCACCACCACCTTCGTCTCTTCCACCCCACCTCCTCCTCCTCCTCCTCCTGCTGCCGCCCATGCTCCCCCTCGCCTTCCCCCCCGGTGCAGCAGCAGCAGCGCCGTGGCAGCAGGATGCACCTTCACCTGCCTTTCAAACAAATCCACCAGCGTGCGATCCCGCACATTCGCACCCCTGCCCCTGCTCCTCGCCCCCCTGCCCACACTCCCTGGCGCCGCATCTGACAGATCTGTCACCGAGTCAAATCCCGATGTTACCACACTGCCCGCTGCCCCTGCTCCCCCCGCACCTCCCCCTCCCCCTGCGCCTCCGCCTCCGCCTGCCCTTGCTCCGCCTGCTGCCCCCCCTGCTCCCCCTCTGGCGCTAGATCCCACCTGAGACTGGGCGGCGGACGAGGCTCCACCAGGGGAGGGAGGAGGGGGAGGGAGGGATGCAATAGCAGTAGCAGCAGCATCTGTAGTGGCAGCACCTGTAGCAGCAGCATCTGTAGTGGCAGCACCTGTAGCAGCAGCATCTGTAGTGGCAGCACCTGTAGCAGCAGCATCTGTAGTGGCAGCACCTGTAGCAGCAGCATCTGTAGTGGCAGCACCTGTAGCAGCAGCATCTGTAGTGGCAGCACCTGTAGCAGCAGCATCTGTAGTGGCAGCACCTGTAGCAGCAGCATCTGTAGTGGCAGCACCTGTAGCAGCAGCATCTGTAGTGGCAGCACCTGTAGCAGCAGCATCTGTAGTGGCAGCACCTGTAGCAGCAGCATCTGTAGTGGCAGCACCTGTAGCAGCAGCATCTGTAGTGGCAGCACCTGTAGCAGCAGCATCTGTAGTGGCAGCACCTGTAGCAGCAGCATCTGTAGTGGCAGCACCTGTAGCAGCAGCATCTGTAGTGGCAGCACCAGTAGCAGCAGCATCTGTAGTGGCAGCACCTGTAGCAGCAGCATCTGTAGTGGCAGCACCTGTAGCAGCAGCATCTGTAGTGGCAGCACCTGTAGCAGCAGCATCTGTAGTGGCAGCACCTGTAGCAGCAGCATCTGTAGTGGCAGCACCTGTAGCAGCAGCATCTGTAGTGGCAGCACCTGTAGCAGCAGCATCTGTAGTGGCAGCACCTGTAGCAGCAGCATCTGTAGTGGCAGCACCTGTAGCAGCAGCATCTGTAGTGGCAGCACCTGTAGCAGCAGCACCTGTAGCAGCAGCACCTGTAGCAGCAGCATCTGTAGTGGCAGCACCTGTAGCAGCAGCATCTGTAGTGGCAGCACCTGTAGCAGCAGCATCTGTAGTGGCAGCACCTGTAGCAGCAGCATCTGTAGTGGCAGCACCTGTAGCAGCAGCATCTGTAGTGGCAGCACCTGTAGCAGCAGCACCTGTAGCAGCAGCACCTGTAGCAGCAGCACCTGTAGCAGCAGCACCTGTAGCAGCAGCACCTGTAGCAGCAGCATCTGTAGCAGCAGCACCTGTAGCAGCAGCACCTGTAGCAGCAGCACCTGTAGCAGCAGCACCTGTAGCAGCAGCACCTGTAGCAGCAGCATCTGTAGCAGCAGCATCTGTAGCAGCAGCATCTGTAGCAGCAGCACCTGTAGCAGCAGCACCTGTAGCAGCAGCACCTGTAGCAGCAGCACCTGTAGCAGCAGCACCTGTAGCAGCAGCATCTGTAGCAGCAGCACCTGTAGCAGCAGCATCTGTAGCAGCAGCACCTGTAGCAGCAGCATCTGTAGTGGCAGCACCTGTAGCAGCAGCATCTGTAGCAGCAGCACCTGTAGCAGCAGCATCTGTAGTGGCAGCACCTGTAGCAGCAGCATCTGTAGTGGCAGCACCTGTAGCAGCAGCATCTGTAGTGGCAGCACCTGTAGCAGCAGCATCTGTAGTGGCAGCACCTGTAGCAGCAGCATCTGTAGTGGCAGCACCTGTAGCAGCAGCATCTGTAGTGGCAGCACCTGTAGCAGCAGCATCTGTAGTGGCAGCACCTGTAGCAGCAGCATCTGTAGTGGCAGCACCTGTAGCAGCAGCATCTGTAGTGGCAGAACCTGTAGCAGCAGCATCTGTAGTGGCAGAACCTGTAGCAGCAGCATCTGTAGTGGCAGCACCTGTAGCAGCAGCATCTGTAGTGGCAGCACCTGTAGCAGCAGCATCTGTAGTGGCAGCACCTGTAGCAGCAGCATCTGTAGTGGCAGCACCTGTAGCAGCAGCATCTGTAGTGGCAGCACCTGTAGCAGCAGCATCTGTAGTGGCAGCACCTGTAGCAGCAGCATCTGTAGTGGCAGCACCTGTAGCAGCAGCATCTGTAGTGGCAGCACCTGTAGCAGCAGCATCTGTAGTGGCAGCACCTGTAGCAGCAGCATCTGTAGTGGCAGCACCTGTAGCAGCAGCATCTGTAGTGGCAGCACCTGTAGCAGCAGCATCTGTAGTGGCAGCACCTGTAGCAGCAGCATCTGTAGTGGCAGCACCTGTAGCAGCAGCATCTGTAGTGGCAGCACCTGTAGCAGCAGCATCTGTAGTGGCAGCACCTGTAGCAGCAGCACCTGTAGTGGCAGCACCTGTAGCAGCAGCACCTGTAGCAGCAGCACCTGTAGCAGCAGCATCTGTAGTGGCAGCACCTGTAGCAGCAGCATCTGTAGTGGCAGCACCTGTAGCAGCAGCATCTGTAGTGGCAGCACCTGTAGCAGCAGCATCTGTAGTGGCAGCACCTGTAGCAGCAGCATCTGTAGTGGCAGCACCTGTAGCAGCAGCATCTGTAGTGGCAGCACCTGTAGCAGCAGCATCTGTAGTGGCAGCACCTGTAGCAGCAGCATCTGTAGTGGCAGCACCTGTAGCAGCAGCATCTGTAGTGGCAGCACCTGTAGCAGCAGCATCTGTAGTGGCAGCACCTGTAGCAGCAGCATCTGTAGTGGCAGCACCTGTAGCAGCAGCATCTGTAGTGGCAGCACCTGTAGCAGCAGCATCTGTAGTGGCAGCACCTGTAGCAGCAGCATCTGTAGTGGCAGCACCTGTAGCAGCAGCATCTGTAGTGGCAGCACCTGTAGCAGCAGCATCTGTAGTGGCAGCACCTGTAGCAGCAGCATCTGTAGTGGCAGCACCTGTAGCAGCAGCATCTGTAGTGGCAGCACCTGTAGCAGCAGCATCTGTAGCAGCAGCACCTGTAGCAGCAGCATCTGTAGCAGCAGCACCTGTAGCAGCAGCACCTGTAGCAGCAGCACCTGTAGCAGCAGCACCTGTTACGATAAGAATGAATTGATAGAAAATGTGAAGTACAACCCTAGATATAGCAAACCCTAATCATGCAAGTAAGTAGAAACGTAACACCTAGACTAACCTAAACAACACATATAAAATATATGTTGACACACCCCCATAGTCTAGGTGACGGAAGTCCTGTAGAAACAACAAGAGCAAGCAACGGTCACAAGACCAGTCTACAAGAACAAGACAAATCTCAGGGTGGAGCTCAAAGTCACCACACACTCCGAGAGCAAGCAAGGGGCCACAAGGCCAGTCCACATGCAGGTATATAGCAAATATAAAGAGATGCAAGAGTACAAGACATGCAGAACAAGGCATCTCTAAGCAAGCAAGTGAGGACGGGCAGGCACAAGGCCAAGCTGGGTGCAGAAACGCTGGTGGTCACAAGGCGGCAACGCCTTGGTGAAGATATCTGCCGTGTTTGCCTCAGAGACCACACGTCGAACGAGTGCCTGTCCACGCTGCTGCAACTCACGCAGAAGGAAGTAACAAAGCTGGATGTGCTTCGCCTTCCCAACCAGTCGGGGCTCCTCACACAACAGGACAGCAGACCTGTTGTCGGCGAACAAGACTGGGGGAGAGCGAGGCCGCTCACCAAGGTCGGTGAGAAGGAAAGACAGCCAGCGAAGCTCCTGAGCGGCCATGGCCGCAGCGTACACCTCTGCCTCACAGCTGGAACCGGCGACAGACGACGCCCGAGTCGACCGCCACGAAACAGCACCTGCCCCGAGGCTAAAGGAGTACCCCTGTGTAGACCGACGCGTCTCCGCGTCGTCGGCCCACGACGAGTCCGAGTAACCTGTGAGTGTAACTGGCTGCTTCCCTCCAAGGACAAGTCCCATGCCTGATGTACTCGCCACATACTTCGCCACCCTCTTAGCAGCGTACCAGTGGGAAGGTCGGTGTCTCCCAGGCGCAACAAAGCGCGCAAGGACGCTAAGAGGGTAAGCTAGGTCTGGGCGAGTACAGGTCATCAGGTACATGAGACAACCCACCAGCTCAGGATATGGACCACTGGACTCAAATGACTCGTCCGAAGGTGGAGCCGTGAGCCCATGATCCACACCAAGAGGGGTGAGCTGTACCTTGGAGAACGGGAAGCGAAACCGCGTGAGGATCTGCTCGACCATATGCGACTGAGTCAGCGTAATGGTGCGAGCTGCCCTGTCCCTGGTGATCTGCAGGCCAAGGTAGTGCTGCAGCTCACCAAGGTCAGTGCAAGTGTGTCTCCTCTGCAGTTCCTCCTTCACGGAGGCCAGCGCGCGTCGGTCGGGAGTGGCGAACACTAGGTCGTCGACGTAGACCAGGACAAAGAACGGGGTCGAGCCACGGCGAACGAACAGTGACGGGTCAGCAGACGACGGAAAGAAGTT